GTTAGTCCTAGTTCTCTATTTTTCTTTTTTCTTCACCTTTTTTATCTTAACCCTCTCTAACTGCATCACATTTGAATGCAAAAAAATAAATACATAATGAACCCAACAAGAGTAATTATAAGCCTTCCCTCATCTAAATAAGACATTCTAAAAAATGGCTAAAACTTTAAAAAACAAACCAAGCACCTACTACAATCACTTCAACAGGAAATAGTTTAACTCACATCTTGTCGACAATTCTTTGCCTCGAATCAGGATGCAACCGAGTTTTCCAATCACTTGAGTCCATTCCCTCTCTGCTAGGGGTGTTTGGCCTTGAGTTATTGGTATCCATAAAACACTAAGAAACGAAAAATATTCCATAAGTAAAAATCGATAGCTAAACTGATATACATAAAAACTGAAATTCTTTCTTAAAATAGGCATAAAAATTCAAAGTAATAGCACACAAGAACGAGGAATTTTATTGTTCTTTTAAGAAAATTAACTAGGATGAGTTTCCCATGTCAAACAGCTGATGGAAACGTATTCAAAATCACAAATAGGAAAAACCAATGTAAATTTGCCAAAAGAAAATGAAATTGAATATATCTTTAAGAAACCATAATTAAATGGAGAAGATTATCAGAATCCTAAATTTAAACCATACATAGAATTGTTAAAACAAATCAAATCAACAATACAATCTCAAATAGTATAACAGGATTGAATTCTATGAAATTTTGATAATCTGAGCAGACCTAACGGAAAATTCAAGAGAGAGCCATAAAAGTTGATCTTGTTGTAAAACTCAAGAAAAAGAACAACAAAACCCATCAGAAGAAAAGGGAAAAGTTACGCCTGCTAGTTCTGTGCTAACCTTGCTAGCTGCTCCGATGACTTTTTTTTCGATGAACTCCAAGTCTCCGATGGCCCTTTGGTGGTTCCGAAGTCCGTCTAGGAAAAGAGAAGCCAGAAAGCCTGGATGTTATTTTAACTAGCGTGTCACGCAATGTTTGGAAACCCGGCCCACCTGACCGCCTCAACCAGTGACCGGAATCAGTTTCAAAAACGGGTCGGATTATGATATTAACACAATAAAAGTTAAAATTAATGTAAGGAGGCGTTTGGAATTACGACCAATAGATTTTTTAAGTGGTTATATAGTATTTTTAAATATATGTATATATATTTGATAATTTTTTTAGATTAATTTTTTTAAATTATAAAAGGATTAGTAGATTTATAATAATTTTATATATAAAGTTAGAAACTTTATTTTGAAGTTTTATGATTGTAACTTTGCAAAAAATACTTAATATTTAATATAATTATAAAATTA